TGGGAGATTTCTACTCCGCCTCCCACTGCCCGGAAGTGCAGGGCCAGAGGCAACCATGATGACAAGGTAGCTGCCACCGTGACCCTTGCCCTCTGTCTTTCCTTCATCTCCACGGGTGACAATTTCTAGACAGGAAAACAGCGAGGCCCGGGACGGAGTCCCTTCCCCGAGGCCCCACAACTTGTATGTGGGCGGCATGTGAACTCACACCCTCTGGGATCCCCTCCCACACTTTTTCTTTCTACAAAAAAGAGTTTTCTTGGCACCTCATCCACGTCCCGCCCAATGCAATAGTTCAACCATAACGTGAAGAGTCGCACCCTCTTTACCAAACTCCACGTGCGAACATATTCTTCTCCCTCGTGCTCACTGGGACTCGAGTGATTGGTTTTTTTTCAATGTTGACCAAAATAGAGGCACCAAAACATCCTCCGATATTCCACAGCTTCCATGTGTAGAACTCAGCGCCATTGATTATACGCTTTGTGTTGTACAACCATCGTGATCGATATCCCTCTCCAGACTCTGCCACCATCGTGAACATGAACCCGGTGCCCCCTGAGAGCAGCTCTTCCTCCACCCACAGTAACCATAGGTCAAGCTTGGCTTCTTTTTCCTTAGTAGTTTTCTTGACAGCATATTCACATATCAGGAGCCCTGGTGGCATAGTGGTTCTGCATTGGGCCCCTAACCGTAAGGTCAGCAGTTCAAAACCACCAGCTGCTCTGTGGGAGAAAGATGCGGCTTTCTACTCCCACGAAGAGTTACAGTTTCAGTCTCTGGACTAATGATCCTTAGGGGCATGGCTAGGGAAGTTGGGGTGGGGAGGGGGGAAATGGGGAGTTAATAACAATGAGGACAAGCATGAAGAATATTCACATATTGTACACTTCCATTATTAAATTGCCTTTTACAAGAGTTGTAGCTATATCATCACAATCCGTCTAGCGCTCCCTCCCACCTCCCACATGCCTAACCTCTAGTCTGCGCTCTCTCTTCCAAAAGAGGGTTTCTTTGGGATTTATCATAGCTTAACATGCTAGCCTAAGGCGTCAAGGAAGTAATAGCAATAAGATAATCGTGATGATCAAGATATTGGGAGGAGTTCAAAACAACCACACCAAACCCGTTACCCTTTGACCAAGTTACTTCTGACTCATAGTGACCCTGTAGAGTGGAACTGCGTCCCCTGGGGTTTCAAAGACGTCCAGCTTTTCAGGAGCAAAGGCCACATCTCCCCCAAGCCCCACCCCACCCCCCACACCTGGGAGTAGGCTGGCTGGTGGGTTTGCAGCAAGACAATTGCCACAGCCTCACCAGGGTTCCTTAGGGGCCTGGTCTCAAGCCCAACCCAACCCACTGCCCTCTGTGTCTCTTCTGAATCTGACCCTATTCAGGATGTCCCAGACTGTCAAATCTTGAGGGGAGCACGGAGCCTCATCATTCTTCCTCAGGGCGATGGTGGGTTTCAAACCAACAACTCTGCAGGTTTAACAGCCCAGAGCACCTGTTGGCAGTGATCCAAACCCCAAATACCAAGCCCACAGCCACCGAGGGGCTAATGTTTCCTGATGTTGTCGTTAGGTGCCGCTGAGCCGGTTCCCACTCCTAGCGACCCTATATCCAGCCGAAGGACCCGCTGCCCGTTCCCACGCCACCGCCCTCACCATCTTTTGGATGAGGTTTGAGCCCATCGATGCACCACGCTGTCAGTCCATCTTGTCGAAGGTCTTCTTTTTCGTTGCTTGGCTACGTAACCGAGCATGACGTCCTTCTCCGGGGACTGGTCTCTCCTGACAACATGTCCACAGTACGTGAGAGGACGTCTTGTCCTCCTTGCCTCCAAGGAGCTTCTGTCTGTCCTTCCAAGACAGTTTGACCCAGAGCAAGTATCTATAGGGTTTCCAAGACAACCTGACCTTTCTCTTATGGTGTTGACTGGTGGGTTTGAACTCTCAACCTTACAGTTAGCAGTCCAATGCTGAACCCGAGGTACACACACCAAAACCGAAAAACACAAAACACCCTTCACGGCCATGGGGTCTATTTTGATTCATGGTAACAGTAGAGGGCAGAGTGGAACTGCTCTATAGGGTTTCTGAGGCTATAAATCTTATCTTTGTCTCCCTGGAGTCAGCAGGTGGGTTCAAACTGCTGACCTTGTGGTTAGCCCAACACGGAACCCACAGTGCCACCAGCGAGTGATAAACCCAAGAACACAACCAAACTCACTAACATCGGATCCACTTCAAAGCTCAAGGGCACTGTAGGACAGGGTAGAACTGCCCCTGGGGGGTTCTGAGACGAGCTCTTTACAGGAGTGCAAAGCCTCCTCTTCCTCCCTCCTAGCTTCTGCTGACTTCGAGCTACTGGCCTTGCAGCAGCCCAGAGTTCTCTCTCCCTCCTCCATTCTGCCCTGGCCACACTGGCCTCTCTGTTGATCATAGTGTCCACAGCAGGCCCTTGGCCCAGGCTGTCCAACCTCACCCTCTGGGGTCTCACCCTGTAGGAATCTTCAGGGTTCCTGGCTGCCCTCGGTTTCTGCTAACTGCCCCCTACTAGTGTCACAAATGTTCTGCTGTGTCCACAGGCTCTGGGACTCGCAGAGCTCCCCCCACACACACACACACACACCCCGCCACCCCCAGCCATGCAGCAGGTGGGGAGCTGGGCTGAGTGTGGCCTCTGAAGGACCTGGGTCTAGGAGATTTTCCTTGGCCCCC